CGCTCCTCCCCGGCCGGCCGTGCCCTGCCCGCGCTCCCCAGCCGCAGCATCCGCCCGCAGGCAGCGCTCAGCACTGCCCGGCCCCTGTCCCCGGCTCGCAGGCACGGGCAGAGCCCTGGGTGAGTAGTCCCGGAGCTCCTCCAGGCAGGCCACGGCCGTTCCAGCCCTGCTGCACGTCCCCGGGCGCTCCCGGGCTCAGGTGAGCCCCGGCGAGGTGCGGCACATCCCTGTCCTCTGGTAGCTCAGGCAGCCTGGGATCCTTGCCTGGGGAGGGATTTTTGAAAGGCTTCCGTCTCTGCTAGCAAGTTACCTGTCTCCACTTGGAATAACTCCTTCCCTTGCACAGAACCTTCTCTCTTCCCCCCACCTCTTTCTTTTCCTTTTCCCTTGCTTTACAACTTTCCCAGCCTTGAGGAGCTGCCTCCCTCATTTTCACCCGCAGATTTCCATAGGTGACGAGGAGCCAGTGCCACCCTGGGAGGTTTCGGTCGCCGAAGATCAGTGTCTTAACACACCTGTGTGTATTTCTTTTGTTCTCCACTAGGCTGAAAAGTCATGACAGCTGAAAAGACTATTCCTATAATTAATGGAAAGCCAGAAGATGCTTTGGACCCAGAAGCCTCAAGTACCAACCTCGTCCACAGCAATGATAAGAAAGTTCATGAAAGAGGTCACTGGAACAATAAGGTTGAATTTGTGCTTTCTGTGGCAGGGGAGATTATTGGGTTGGGAAACGTCTGGAGATTCCCATATCTTTGCTACAAGAATGGAGGAGGTAAGACGGCACCACGTGTGGATTTACATGGGGATTAAACACGGGAATTGAACAGTTAAGAATGTCTTGCAGTGATTTATTGCACTAGTAAGAGATACGTGTTCAGGGTTTCAGTGCATGTGCAGCCAAGGAAGCATTAAACATCTGACAACTAAGAAAAATCATTGTGTTCCTCTTTCCTTCTCCCCAAACAGTGTGTGGTTTATTTTTACAAGTTTCTGTTGCGTTAGTAAATTGACATATTTTTTTTTAGTAGCATTTTTCTTGCAGGAGAAGCCAGCGTTCTGTTTTAGTAGTACACACTGTCTTCTGCATGTGAATACACACCCAGGCATACTTAACTAAGTTTGTCTGACACAGAAAAGAAGGCAGGGCTTTATTTGTCACAACAGTGTACTTTAGAGAGGATGAATATTGTTTTTTCTAATCATGCCATAAAGACTGAATTTATTTTCTTTGCCACCTGAAGTTTTTTATACCTCAGTGTTCTTTTTTTTTCCCTCAGTACTTCCCCAATTCCTGCAGCAAGGTAGGGTAAGATGTAAAACTGAAGGTTACTCGAAGAAGAGAGGAAGCCTAATAAATATAAAATATAAATGTTAAAAGAGCAGACTCAACTTGTGCAGGAGCATAACGTTTGGCATGTATTGGTTATAGCCAACTATAAACTGTGTAAGATAAATGACAGCTGAGAATAAGCACATCAGCTGTGACTGGGGCAGCAATGAAGAAAGAAAAGTAAATTACAAACTCAGTTTAGAATTCTGTGGACTGGGTTCAACATTCTCCCCACTTAAGGCCTGAGTCAGTGGCAGTGTAAACACAGAGGCTGGAAGGAAAATAGGATGTGTAGGGCTGATAAGCACGGATCTGCTCTCCAATGAGTTTGTTTGCTGCGCCAAATTTCCATTCCTTGTCCCTCCTTATCCTACCTCAGGGATGGGTTTTAGCCCGTTTTTGTGTGCAGTTTCTACAGGACAAATCCTGCTCTGCAAGTTGTATTTATCGTTGGAAGTTCCTTTTTCACGTCTCTGTATTTTGGCCAAACTTAGGTAACAAGAGTTCAGCTCTTTAGAGAGTGCTGCTACCAAATGCTGAATATTAACATGCTGCATATATACACAAGCCTTTCTTGTTGAAAGTGTTCCCAGAGAACTTTTGGCACAGGAAATGACAGGAATATATATTTTGGTGTGTAATTTTTTGGTTCCTACAACCACCTTTAGGTGCCCTTTTGTAGGTGTGTGCCAGCTTGTCTAAAGGTGATGCTGTCATTTTTAAGGGTGTAACGTGAGGTAGAAAGAATTTTAATCATTGTTTCGGGTGATTTGATGAAAAAAATAATTCCTTAAATATCATATTTAGTTACTGCTGTATTCTTTAAGAATGGAATAAGTGGGTGTGATTTAATTGGTCATGTCCTAGCACCACGGGACATTTGCCATTGACCAGTTTTAGTCAATGAAGGCTCAGTCTATGACCTGTGGCTTTGTAACCCCCTGCTGGAATTAGACCAGAGTTTGTTTTTAGTGCTTAAATCTGATGCATCCAACTCCTTGGTGTGTGCTAGGGGAAGACAGTGGTGAACATCTGAGCTAGTTGTGAAATAAATTGCTTTTTACAGAACAAATCTAGAAGCTGTAGTTTGGAACTTGTGAGGTGTGACCTCTCTGGAACTTACTCCAAGTCATAACAGGGAGGGTAGGAATAATCATCCATAATTTTAGGTTGTGGATGTTCCGGGTTTGAGGGAAATTCATTTCTTTGTGTGTTTAGAATTAGGTGTTTTCTGGGATATGATCTTTTTGCAAGCTGGGAATCCTGATGTTTTCTGATGTGTGCCTGTTAGAACAGTGTTGGAAAAACAATCCAAGCTGATACTTTGGATTTTCACAAGTTGCAGCGTTACACTCGCTGTGATTGTGTGTATGAGATTTGATACTGGCCAGTAAATTATCCAGGGAAGCCATGCAAGTATTCCATCCTTTGTGGAATCCCTATGGATTGCTTGAGGTGTCTGGGATTGATCTCTAGGGAAATTTCCTGGCTGAGGGAAGAGACTGCTGGTGATGAGATGAAAGAAGCTGCCAGTCAGAGCAGGTGGATTTAGCGGTCTCCACTTTCTAACCCAGGTGACTGAAGCCCAACAGCTGTTGCAAGGTGTGGACATGCTGGGTTTGGGTTTTTCTGGGGTTCACTACCTGTGCTGGAGTTTACTGTTGGCATCCAACAAAAATGGTGATGCTTTGTTATTTTCCTAGAATTTCACATCAATATTTCTGGCTGGTAAGGCCAGGCCCTGCTTTCCTGCCCTTGTAAGTAGTTCTGAAGTTTGTTTCCTTGTTCCCTTTTCACAATCCTTAAAAGGCTCCTATAAATAACATGAAAAGGATTTCTCAGATTGAATATCTGTAACACTTCCCCACCCCTGAAAAAAACAAGGAGGGTGCTGCAGACTGACTGGTGCAGAACTCTGAGCTGAGCACGGCTGGGATCTTTTCTGTGTTTGAGAGACTCCTGAGCTGACTTTGTGCTGAGGAACTTTGATCTGGTCTGTTTTAGTCGGTGGCCTGGCTTACAGGTTAACTTTGGATATTTGGGGCAGGGGTAAACCCTTCCTGCACTGCACTGATGGCTCACAGCTGATCCTTCCTTTACTGGGAAATCCCTCCCCGTGCTCATTCTAACCACCACCCCCTCACTATTCACCCACAGGTGCTTTCCTCATCCCCTACGTGGTCTTTTTTATTTGCTGTGGAATACCAGTGTTTTTCCTGGAGACGGCCTTGGGTCAGTTTACAAGTGAAGGAGGCATCACATGCTGGAGGAAAGTTTGCCCTCTCTTTGAAGGTAACAATTCTGTGTTTTACTGCAAAAGAAAGCATTCAATTTGAAGTAAAATTAAATTAATCGTATCAAAATTGGAATTAAGATACAATTAAGAGTAAGCATTTGTTTTTAAAATAAATACAGCCTGAAAAGTAGAAGTTTTCTTTTGTATCTCACTTTTTATTTTACTCCTCCAGGCATTGGCTATGCTACCCAGGTTATAGAGGCACACCTAAATGTATATTACATCATCATTTTAGCATGGGCTATCTTCTATTTGTTCAACTGCTTTACTACAGAGCTTCCCTGGGCTTCCTGTGGCCATGAATGGAACACAGGTATGACCTCAGCAGAGATTAACACCATAAAAACCCTCCCAAGTGATTGATTAAGGTATTGAAATGTCTTGAACAAAACTATTGGTGTAGCAAAGTCTGTGGAAATGGGCCAATCTCATCCCAACAAGAGAAAGGAAAACTGGAGTGAAACTGCCTTGGACCTTTCTGGGTTAGGTCATTGAGAAACATTTACTCCTCTAGAATATAATGTCAGCAGAAAAAAAGACTATGGATTTGTTAATTCTGTAAGATCTGGCTAAATCCCAAGACTCTCATTTGCAATCATATCTATTCTCCCTGAACACACTGAGTGAATTCTGCAGCAGAGAATGACCTGATGACAGGTTGCAATCTTGCTCTTTCACTCTAATGAAATCAGGAGGAGTTTGAATGGAGAGGGAAAAAATATTAAATGTGGATCTTTGGATTTGCTCTTTTAAATGCCAGATGTTGAGGGATAATGTTCATCAAGCCACTTCTGGAAATTTAGTCTCATAAATAATCCTTGCTGCATGTAAAGTAGCATCCTGCATGGAGGATGAGGTGTGCATTCAGAAGGGTTTGCAGGGTAGGGCTCTGCATCTGTCCTCTCATTGATATTTACATCTGTAATTCTCTGTTTATTGAGTCTGTAGATCCCAAACATCCATGGGGAGGATCTCATCCCAGTGCCCTTGTTCCCACATTCCTGAAGTTTTACCATTTATCCCGTATATACAGTCCAATTTCAAATCAAGTACTCATTAGTCTTTCATAGCTTTCACTAATTGGCCATTTATTGTGTTCTTTGAGCACACTTATGAAGCGTGCAAAAAAAAATCTTAGTTTCTCTCAGGGAGGAAATTTTGGGCCCAGTAGATGTGGAAGGCTTTGGTATTGATTTTGGCAGCTTGGCCAGCATTATCCCTGCTCAAATGCTCCATGATGCTGAGCTGCTGTGGCCCTTGTGTTAGAGATAATAATAATAATCATAATCATAATGATAATGATAAGCCAGAGGAAATACCCACTTGCCTTCCCAGGAAAAAGGGGGGGTTTGTGGCTGGCCATGTTCCATAAGGTGTTTGTAGCCATAAACCATCGAACCAGGAGCCCACTGTAATTCCCAATCCATTGCCTCAGTTTCTCAATATTTCTTTCTTCTGCCTGAGGTGATTTTTTGGCCCTGTGCCTTTGGGAGGTGTTGTAGGAGAATCCTCATGGGTGTTTTTCTGGGTTATCATAAGCTGGTGTTGCAGAAGTAGCAGCTGTGGCATTTAGTGTGCGCAGAAACCCTTGAACCCCGCCCAGAACATGTGGTGTAGACCGGGGGCTTTCCAAGGTGCACAGACTGGGACATGAACAAGAACTGTACTTGCATGTCAACATAGCAAACTCCTTTTTGTTGTTGTTCTTTTCTAGAAAACTGCGTGGAATTTCAAAAACTTAACATGAGCAACTGCAGTCAAGTCTCTTTACAAAATGCCACTTCTCCAGTGATGGAATTCTGGGAGTAAGTGCACAAAAACTTTATATTTGATCAGACTGTTCATTACCTTGCAGTGTTTTGATCATTTACACCTCATAACCCTATAGCACTTAGGGATGTGAGTTCAGCTGGAAACTTTCTTATCCAGCCAGTCAGAATGAGAGTTTTTAACTCTTTTCTTAGAGGATACAAGGAAAAGAATTCCATACCCTGAAAGGACATAGAACAAAGTGTGCCACTTGCTCGGGAGCTTGGCTCCTGCTGCTGGAGGAAAGAGCCTCCAACCCATACTAATGAGGAGGCAAAGGTGAAAAAAAGATTATTTACAATATTCCTTTTTTGCCTTTTCTTTTTTTTTTTTTTTTTTTTTTTCTTCCCTCAGGAGTTTGAGAGCTGCATCTTCATCCTTGTTTCAGCTATTACTCTGGCTTCTGGATCTCATTATATTTTAAAGGACTGTGTAAGTGTTAGTTATTCAGCTAGAATAACAGGAGACTTTAACTCTCTCCTGTCTCCCTGACTCTGATTTCTAGTTTGACTAAGGGAAGAAAATCAGATGTCTGCAAGAGATAATCTGCTTTTGTGGTGATGTATTTTTTCTGACTATAAATATTTAAACAGTGCAGTGTAGCCTCCCATTTGTGCCTTGCAGAGTGTAGTGTGTGTAAAGCCAATCAGAGATGGAATGTTTGAATTCTGAGTGATTTCACAATTCAAAGCCTGTTACAAAATTCTGGGTTACTACAATTTCTTGAGGACCCATTAATTTTATTTTTAAGACAGAGCCTTATTCTGAGGCTCTTTTGTGTTCAGAACAGCAACAGCTGCACTTTAAAGAATCAGGAATTAAAACTCCTTGAAGGGAGAATTCTACATTGACATAATTTCCTTGAACCTTGGGCCATGCTATTGTCTGCCTGCATCTTTCTCTTGCTACATCAATAAACTTAAACTTCATGAGTTGTTTCAGCAAATAATACTGTTTTATTTAAAAATAAAATACATCCCCCAAACTAGATTGAACCTGAACAATATGAGAGACATATGCACTCTCTGGGTAAAACTGGAATTTTATTTTCTGTTAAATTGTCCATATTCTGAACACCTTACATCTTCCATCAAAATCTATCTACTTCATCTCTTAATGATACAACTTCATTTTACTGGAGCAAAAGTCTCTTATGATGCTTTGGGATAATGAGAACTAAGCTTTAGTAGAATAAATAAGCAATATATATAAATAATATATTATATATATATATAAATAATATATTTTCTCAAGTATTAGCCAATTAACCCCCTGTATTTATATGTTTTTTTCAACAATATTCCCAACTCAGCCATTGGTGGTAACTCCTGTATTTATATGTTTTTTTCAACAATATTCCCAACTCAGCCATTGGTGGTAACTCCAGTTATCCAGAGAAGAAGGAAATGTTTAGCTCAATTCTATGGACGGCACAAAGTTTTATACTCTCATATTTCAATGGTTTTGTGGGGTTTTTGTTAGTGCTCATCCCTGGAGAACCTGAATTCCTGTGTTGGTGTTATTTTGAAACACATACAAATTCATTTTAAGCACTTCCCTTCTCAGAGATCTCTAAAAATGAACATAAACAAGATTCTGTAGCTCAACTTGCAACCAAGTTATAGTGGGTTTTAAACCCTTCAATTTTGGGGCATATTTCCCTACCTAATTTTGGCTAAATCAGGAATAAAGTATGAAACTAGAAAGGATAATCAGAATTAGCCTTTTCTCTTTCTGGTTTTACAGTCTTGTCTATAAAAAGTTGAAAATACACATTCCAAACCTTTTAAAATCACAAACACACACACAAAGAAAGAGTCAATTAAATAATCTGTTATTTATTTGAAACATCTTTCTTTATTGTGTCACAGACAAGCTTTTTGTAACACTAACAGTTTGCTGGCCAAAACAACTTAAGATATAAAACTTATCTACTTACTCTGTCCAAGCAAAACTGGAGTTGCATTGTTTTGCACATAGAAAATAAATGTACTCTCTTCCTGCTAAGGAAGGTGTTTGCTTTGTTTGAAATTTAAGTTTCTATAATGTTGCATGGCTTCAAAATTAAAAAAAAAGAAAAACTGGTTTCAAAGTGGAAGAATGAGCTCTATTAAAAATCAGGATTGATTTTTGTCTTGAAATAACTCATTGGAATTAAGATAATAATTGAAGTATATGTCTTAAATATCAGACATAAAAGCACAGCAGGGTCTTTCTGCATAAAAAGCAGATCACAGAGCAGTTAATACAAAATAAATATTACTAGAAGAGTTAATTTGTCTGGAGAAAAGTGTTACCAGCAATGTTATTCCCCTCAGCCAGAGGTGGTGTTCTCCTGATACTGCTTTATTATTCTGTAAATTCTGCTGCCAGGAGCCATAAACTCATTGTAAACTTGTTGAAACAAATAGTAAAGTGTGAGTTTCTGGAGTAGGGAAGGGGGAGGCTCCAGGTTTCTTCAGAACAACCATTCAGAACCTTCCCACTTTGCTCTCTGCAATGCCAAGGCTGCCATTGAAATCCCTCTAAGTTGTGGTCACATAAAGCCAATTTATTGTGTGAGGAGGAGTTGGCTGCGGGGAAAAAATTGGGTTTTTGTGGGAATTTTTTTTGGTTTTATTTTGGTGTTTTGTGTGTGAGGTTTCTTTTGTTGTTGGGGTTTTTTTGGTTTTTTGTCTGTTGAGTTAATCTGTGGATTAGAGTGGTAATTATTGTGCACAGTGATCCTGTTTGCTTTTTGTGAGTGAGCTTGTTTACATGTGGAACTCAAGGCTGCATTTGTAAAGTGTCAGGCTGATGCTGCAGCTTTCCCTTCCCAGCCACATCCCATTGCCACAGCCTTTTAGAGCAAGCACGGTATCTTCAGACAGCTTTAATGAAACCCAGCCTACCCAGAAGAGACTCAGTAATTGCCCAGTGTTTTTGCAGTGCTCTGTGCTGCTCTCAAGCTCCCAGCCTGAGAGTTCCTCATTCTGGGGAGGTTCAGGATGTTCTGTTTCACACAGGATTTACATTCCCTAAGTGCCAGCAGAGGTTGGGAGCAAGGAGACGAGTTGGGTTTGGGTTTTAAGTGTGTAAATGAATATACCAGGCCCAAAACATCTTTATTTCTGGCTTTGGAAAGGAATTTTTTCTCTTTTACCTGGTGCTGCTAAGTCTTTTCCACCAGCTAGGCTGTAAGGCTCAGCCCTTATTTATTCATGACTGGAGGTAAATCCAAATCCTCGGCTGGCTTGAGGATTGCAAACCAAAACTCCAGCCTTTCTGCTGAAATATTTGAACTTTTGCTGCTTCTGCTGCTCCTAAAGCTGTGGCTCAGGTCAGGCAGGGACTCAGCCATGAGCAGAGGTACCAGAGGATACCTGGCAGTGCCACGAAGCTTTTCCAGCTGCCCTTCCCCAGCTGTGCCCAGAGGATGCTGTTCCCCTGCTCCCTTTGCAGTCTGACTTCTCATCACTCATCGTGCTCTCCCTGCTTTGGTAACCACCCTACAGAGGGTAAAAGTTTAATTTTTGTCTTGTCTGGATTGTTTCTTTGTTAAAACAAACCAGAAAAGGATTCAGACAGAAATCCTGCAGCAATTTCTAGGTGCTGCTTTCCTTCTGGTACTCTCCAAAGAACCTCATTAAACTTCCAAACTTTAAATATTTTTGTGAGACTGTAATTGATAACCACTCCCTTGTAGCTACACAGTGAAAATGGGCTGATCCTGCTGGAGGTGCAGCAAAATCTGGAGATTGGGCACTCTTTTCTTCTTTTCCTGCTTAGAAATATCTATCCCTGTTAGTGTTTTAAGGCTTCATTTGAGTGAGCAGACACCCCTGACAACTCATCAAAATTAGGGAATTAAAGGATTTCTTACTCAAAAAGGCTTTGCAAGCCACAGCCTCGAGAAGTTCCACGCTCTGTATGTACAGTTTCTAAGGGAAGCAGCTAAACTGATAAAAATTCACTTTTTATTCTTCAAACTCCCTGCTGCTGTGTTCCAAAGGACAGACAAGAGCCTGAATTTCCACTTTTCCCTTCATATTAGTGCCAGCATTCAAAGAATTGACCTCTTTTCTCCCCTTTATAGCCTTCCCTTTATCCCAACTGTATAGTTGGGATAAGGATTTTCTAAGAAATAGTAATAATCACAGTTTCAAGGTGTGGCACATAGAATTTTTAATGTCCAAACTTTAAATAATTAATAGTGGTAGCTGCTAATTACCCATAAATTAAAGCAGGATATGAAAAAGAGCTGTGGCTGTAGGTGAGGGTGTATTTGCAGCCTGGGGAGCAGAGGGGAGATGCTCTGCTCCATCACTTTTCTGCTTTCCTAGGAGAGGAAATTTCCTGGCAGGTGTGGGGGCTGCAGCCATGCCCGTGTGCTCTTTTGGCTGCTGCTGCAGTCTGTCACCACAGGCAGGAATTGGAGCTTTCCAGTGCCTGGGAAGGGAGCTGGAGAGAAAGAGGAGCCACGGTTTTGTGGCTGATTCCACCTCAATAGATTTTTATTGGCTGTGTAGCAACAACTCAGTGCTCTGTTAAAGGAGCTCTGCTTGTTGGCCTGTCACTCTCCGGAGGGGGTGACACATCCTCAGCGTTTCCAAGTAAAGCCTAGTGAGAAGAAACATTGGTTTTGTCTGGGCAGAAAGAAAAGGGGCTGTTCTCAGCAAAAAGGAAAAGGCACAAACCCTTTCCTTGCTAAGTCAAAAAAAGAGGTTTTTCCTGTTTCATTCAGGCTCCCAAGGAGTGCAGGAGTCACAGCGTGGTTAATGCCCAGCACACTGAGGAGTCAGGGCTGAGCTGAGCCTGGTGCTGCAGTGCCCAGGGGATCCAGCAGCACCCCAAACCTGCCCCTTTGGGGGTGTCTTGTAGGGCATCCAGTCCTGCCAGCCCCTCCTCTTGCTGCCCAGCTCCTAAGGAAGTGTGAAATGGCTTTTGGTTTGGAGCCTCCTGGGCTCCCCATCTGGGTTTGCCTCGACATCCCTGACTTTGCCTGACTTCAGCTGAG